AAATTATTAAAAATAATTATATTAAATAAAGCCTAAATAATTCTCCCTAATTGTTAGAAATGCACTACCTGAAACTAGTAAACTCTTTATCCATTCCCCTTTGTTTTGAAAAAGAAAAAGGATTAAAAGAGTTTATCATAAGCTATATAATTAGTGATGGAGAATACTATAAATTATATAATTTAATGATAAAATTACCTATATTTTTAATTATAAATATAAAATTTAATCCTAATCTTTATGGAAAAAAAAAAAAACTAATGGAGAATCGTTTAATGACCAAGTCAATGACAACAACGAATTTAGCCGTCTGTTATGGGTCAAGATCATTGGAGGCTATCATTCTTTTTATTATTTCATTTTAGTTTATTTTATTTTTTGGCGCCGACGGAGGCGACCTTTTCTATTCTTTAAAATCTTTTTCTGCTGCAGATCTGGAATCTTGCATACATTTCACTTAAGAGAAAGATCAACAAGTTGTCAATTCAGCTAGTTGGCACCATATGCAAATTTGTTTTTGCTGTATCTTCTGGTTCTAGTCAATGGTAGTTAACCGACTAAATTCTTTGTCGATTGCGAAAGATAGGTTGGAATATGTGCTGATAAGACTACACCCCATTAAAATTGGGTTATATATTTGACTGCATTTACATGATTCATGGAAATTAAATATCAAGAAGGGAAATGAGATGGATGTTTCACTGGCTTGAACTTTCATTAATGATATTTTGATTATTGCAACTTTTTAGTCAAGTTGAACTGAAAATAAATTATCAAAATATCATGGAAAAAAATTATCCAAATATTATTAATGACGTTAATGATATTTTAGTCTCTTTGTTTTTTTTTTTTTTTTTTGACCAACGTAAATTTTGGTTATTTTAATTTTTTTTTAGAATAATAGTATTTATCAAGCTTAAAATTTTTTTTTTTCGACCATATTGTTTTGACAACGTAAACAATCTTTTTTTTTTTTCGACCAACGTAAATTTCGAAATGTCAATAATAGTATTATAATAATATTTCTAATAATTAAGGTCATTAAATGAATTTTTAAATCCGTGTAAAACTCCTTAAAATGTCAATTAAAATGAAATAAACGAAGTAGTAGTTTCAAAAAACACCCTTCTATTAATATCTTGAAATTACATATTAGTTTATGTTAAAAAGAAAAAAAAAAAGACTACAGATTAGCTTCTATTGAAGGTTAAAAGGTGTGAACTAATCAAAATTATGTGGTTTTGAAGTAAAGCATTCTTAATTATTTAGCAAATAGAACAAAGGCATCTTTGTTACAATTGATTTATATATAAAACTGTTATGTTTGCATTAGTTATATGATATTATAAGTTTGTAATTAGTATTTACTTTTTTATTAAAAAGGATTAGTGTAATATTTTATATATAATTTATTTATTTAATACTATATTATAATTTTAAATTAATAATTTTAAATACCATTATAAGTATATCATTTTTATTTTATTTACATATTGTTATTTGTAAAATATAAAAATTATTCTTATTTTTTATTATTTAAAAATAAAATTTTCTTTCTTTGATGTCTTTTAATGAACCAAATTTTTAATAGAAATAGATATTATATTTAGCAAAATCAAATCATTCTTATTTACCAAAAAAAAAAATCATTCTTAGAGTCCCTACCAAACAACTTACATTGTTTACATAAGAATCTATTTGACCAAAGTGTCATTTTATTAAAAAAGTTTTTATTAAAAAAGTAATTAAAAAATAATATGTGAAAAGTTAAAAAGTACTAGAAGAAATGTGTTAAATTTTGTAATAAAATTTTATTAAATTTTATTAAGTTATTAACTTGTTGGTATTTGGTAAGAATTTGATAAAATTAATATGTATCAATTTCTACTTTCAAAATAAATTAAAGTTTTAACCTATATTTAGATATTAAAATTTCAATTGAAAATTTAAAAATTCACTCTATTAAATGTTGATATTTAAATTTAGAAATTAATTATATTAAAAAATATAATTGGTTTTCAAATCTAAATAACAATATTTAATAAAATAAATTATTAAATTTTAAGTTAAGTTTTAATTAAATAAAATGATATAGTTTAAATTTGAGATTTTAATTTATTTCCAGAGTTGAAATTGATATGTATTTTTTTTTATAAAAAAAGTTGTTAAGTGAAATTCATTTAGAAAAAGTTATAAAAAAAATTTTTAAACAAATTTTTATAGATTAACAATTATACTAAAAAAATAAATACTTAAAATATCACTTTTATCACCTTTTTAGTATAATATTAATATATAAAAATGATAACTAATCTTTAAAAAATATATATTTAAAAAAATGTATGGACAAAAATTTCTCCCAACCAAACCACCCCCACTACCCCCAAAAGAAAGTTTCTTCAACTAGGTTTTCTAGAACTTCAATCTTATTACTCAACCCGTTTGTTTAGTCAAAGTCTAGGATAAATAGCTAGCTGACAGAGCAAGCTTCTTTAGAAACTATTGCCTTTTTTAGATTGAAAGATGACAAGATTTTTCCTCCATCAAAGAGAGTCTGATCAATTAAACTAAGTGGTGGGGCCTTCAAAGAAGCTTGATTGTTGGAAATTTTGTTTCCTAAAATTGGATCAACTTATTGAGAGTGTGTTTACCAAAGTAGAATAGTTTGAATTATAAATCATAGGTCCGTGGTAAGTAAAGTGGGGTTTTGCTACGTGATTTCACATCCTTAGGTTTCTTCGGTGCCGACATAACGTGGTTATGTTAGAAATTGTTGTAAAATATTATGATTATAATTTATAAAAATTTTATTTTATTATAAAATTATATTATTATTGTTAATTACTTTAATAATTTAAATTAATGAGGTGTTTCAAAAAAACACACACAATAAAACTGTAACCCAAACCTAGTTCTTGGCTAGAGTTGTTTGTGGTATCCTCAATTGCTTGGTAATTCGAGGTTTATGGGTCAAGTGAGGTCACCGTCCCTATGAGGGAGGTAGGTGTGATTGAGAAAGGAGGTGGTTTGCATAGATTTAGTTCGGGGTTCGGGGTTCAGGGATTTGAGAGGATGGATCTTGCTTGGGATCGGAGGGGCTGGGCTGAGGAAGGGTGAAACGAAAAACAAATCAGGACTGGATTGCATTACCAGCCTAGTAATTATTCCAGTTAAGTCTTACCAGCCCTTAAAATATTAAGATTAAACTGTCGGTATTAATTTGTTTTTATACTTAAATACTAACCATAATTGTATTTTTTTTTATATAGTTTTGAAACTTCACAATCTCTTTCATTTAAATGTTTAATATCCTCATTTAAAACCCAACCTAATCCTAGGATCTACTCCATGTTATGTGAGATTTTAGAGGCCGTAACCCAATTAGGTACCACTGCCTATTACATACCCTTGCCAGACTAAGACTCCTCATCAAACATCTCACATTAAGGTTTCGACAGCCTCACACCTGTACCGAGAACACACTCTACTACTGATTGAAATAAGTTAGACAAAATTTTATTACTAATTTAATAATTTTATAAGCTGAGATCTACGCATCTTTAAAAACTAAATTCAAATTATTAGTAGTTATTAATTTTTACATTTACAAAAACTTTAGACTTTCAATTAGCAACTGACTTTTCTCTCAGAATTTCTCTGCTAGTTCCATCTCTCATAATTAAGTTAATACAAAACATCTTGATTAAAATATTTTGATAAATAAAAAATCTTAAATTTAAATCATATGATATGTAAATAAAATAAGATAAATATTAAGAAAGAGTTATTTTGTCTTTTATTATATAATCAAAATAAAAAAATATATTTTTTATAAGTTTAACTTCATAGGATATTTTAATATTTTATTTTAATAAAAATATTATGTAATTTAAATTATATTAAATTATATTATATATAAACTATTAAATAAAAAAAACTCTCAAATATTGAGAGTCCTTTATTGTATGATCAAATACAGTTTATACTATATATATATATATATATATATTACAAAATCTTACCACAATATCATCATGTCTGACGTCAAATCACAAGTTAACATCTTGACTTCTAATTAACCCACGATATCATGTCATAATAATCAAATATAATTAAACCGCAATATCATCTCATGATTAAACCACAATATTCAAATTGCATTAAAACAACTTGAGGAATAAATGCACCTGGGCCAACTTGTTTAAATTTTCTATCCCTTAAAATTTGTATTAGTTTAAAAAAATAAAAAAATAATAATTTATACATATTCATAAAATTTTTCTATCCAATACTGCTCTTCAACTGTGATTATTCAAAGTATTGTATTCTATTGTCACAAAAATTATTTTAGTATTTGATAATTATATTTTAAAAAAAATTATTTATTATAAGATTATTTAATTACACACATTATTATTTAAAATTAAATTAATTAATAATTTAATATATAATATACAAAAAAGATTAGAGAATTTTATTAAATTATTGGGAAATTTTATTAATTTTGAATAAGATAACTTTTGTATTCCTTTTTTAAAAAGTAAAAATGGATAATTTATCAAACTCATAAATTATAAAAAATTCTATAAATGTGTGAAAAATATTATAAGCAGAATTGTTAAACTAAATATAAGTAAAAGCAATCAATTACTTCTTATTTCCAAAAGAAAAATACGGTTGCGGTTTCTGATTTCAATTTTTATATTTAAATTTTAGTTTCTATATATTTTACAATCGTTAAAAATTAAAACAAAAAAAAATAAAATTTAACAATTTGTTTAAGATAAATATTAATTTTTAACACTAACAATTAAATTTATAAATTTATTTTGTAGTACTAATGTCATTTTTGTTCTTATTTATCCAATAATTATAATAATATTTCGAAAATCATATTTGAAACTAAATAAGTTTTTTCTATTAAAATTTCAAAATTTATATAAAAAAAAATTTTAATCCAGAAATCGCAATTATACTAAACTCTGTTCAGTACTGTATGTGAATTGTTTACATGTTGATTGATAAACTAATCACCACAATATATGCAATGATAAAGAATATTATAATGCTACCCTCTGTAGTTAAAGGGGGCAAAACGAAAATATATAAGTTTACACAACTTGAGATTCTGAATCCGTTCCCTAGGATCATTAAACTTTGATTGTAAATTAAAATTGAAAGTAAATAAATTGACGAAAAAAAAAATAGAAACCTTGCTATGTTACGAGAGAATTAACATCAGAAGATGAAATTGAGCCAGTACCATTTGACAAAAACAAGACTAGCTAGCTTCCTCTTTCCTGTAAGTTTTTAAGTTCCCATTATCCTCCCATGTTCCAAAGGCTATCTGAGAAACCACTGTCAAACCAATTGCTATCGTCCACGGGGAAATCCCCGATTGAGTAATTCTCAACCATTGATGAGGTGGCCACCAAGTTCATACTTTCCATGTCATAGCAACCATTATCAACAGAAAAATCCTTTCCAAGTATGTTATGATCAACATTATTACCAATGACATGAAAAGGACTTGTTGGGCATTTTGAAAATTGAGAAATTTGTGAAGAGATGGCTGAATTTGTGCAGTTATATTCAGATGAATCTGAATTTTGATCGTGGAGATCCAGGCTCTGTATTGCTTCACTCAGGGTACTAGGCCCCTGCCCTGTATTAGGTAGTAGTGAAGCTGCTACTGGTGTTGAATTAGGCTTAGAGGCAGAATCCAAAAGTGGAGGAAGCGCTGATGAATTCTGAGGCGACATAATTGATGATGAAGATGAAGATCCCTCAATCTTCTGAATCAATCTAGGCATGCAAAATAATCTAATAAAATCCCGGAAAGCTGTGCTATTGGCATCGATCTTAAGATGCCGCGCCTGTTTCTGCACCCTGGTTCTCCAGTAATTCTTGATCTCATTATCTGTTCTTCCTGGTAGATGTTGTGCAATCTTTGACCACCTAAAACATCAAAACCAATGAATTTGTTTTCAAATTCCAAATTATATGATTGGTAATAAGAGTGTTAATTAAGGAGATTTTTTTTATAACATTTATACAATAAAAAAAAAATCCTCTTTTTCAAATCCTAATTTTTTTATTTCAAAATTTGAACCTTATATTGTTAAAAGTTAAAATACTATTTAAAGTAAAAAAGTATTATATTTCTTAAAAATGGAATTTTAATTTGGAGTGAAATGGGAAACATGCTCATTGGGAGGAGGATAAGGTGTCATATTATCTTAAGAAATTAAGGAATATTACATAGCAGATTGAAAATGTTTTAAAGGGCTGCTTTCTGTCCACATCTAGTTAGATATTATTGATTAATTACTTTTTAATCAAGTTGATGGGATTCCGTGATGATCTAAGTTTCGAACCTTTCATACATTACAAATAGATGCATATCAGGAAAAGTAGGAAAAACTTGGAATAAAATCAAGCATAGTAAAAGCAATAAAAAAAGATGATCAATACAGGATGATTTATGAATACCTGTTACCCCATTTAGAATGCAGTTCAAGAATCAGCCACTGTTCTTCTGGACTAAGGTTTCCACGCTTGACATCGGGTTTCAAGTAATTCAACCATCTCAGTCTGCAACTCTTCCCAGTTCTCCTCAGGCCTGATAGAACCATAGAAAACATTTTACCAATTCAATGAAAATCTGCCATGAACTCTAAGGAAATAAAGATGAAGAGTCAATATGAATAACTTACCGGCATGTTTTGCGAGCAAATTCCATCGTCCTTCACCGTGACGAGCTATGTAATGAACAAGGAGAGTGTCTTCTTCAAGGGTCCATGGTCCTCTCCGGAGATCGCCTTCATCTTCACTGCTAAAACTCTTGCTCAAAGAAGGCATGCCTCTCTTGATGAGTGCCAAAACTCAGAGAGGCAGTAGTTTTGATAGGAAAAGATTTGTATGCGTGTGACCAACAGTTTCAAAGCATCACACCTCTTATTTATGCTCGACTTGGATACCCAACAGCAAACTT